TCGAAGATAGACCTACGATCGGGGTACCACCAGCTGAGAATTAAAGACGCCGACATACCTAGGACAGCCTTCAGAACCAGGTATGGGCATTATGAGTTTACCGTTATGTCTTTCGGACTCACTAATGCCCCTGCGGCATTTATGGATCTTATGAATCGAGTTTTTAAGGAATTTTTGGATCTGTTCGTGATCGTGTTTATCGACGATATTCTAATTTACTCCGTTATGGAAGAGCAGCACGAAGGACATCTGCGGCAGGTTCTTACCGCTTTGAGGAAGAACAGCCTGTACGCGAAGTTCTCGAAATGTGAGTTTTGGCTGGTTAAGGTGGCTTTCCTTGGCCACATAGTCACCAGGGAAGGTATTGCTGTGGACCCGGCCAAGGTGGAGGCGGTCAGTGGTTGGCCAAGGCCTCGCACAGTGACAGAAATCCGCAGTTTTCTCGGTCTATCCGGCTATTATAGAAGGTTCGTCCAGGATTTCTCTCGGGTAGCGGCACCGTGGACTCAGTTAACCCGCAAGAATGCTACGTTCATTTGGATCGACGAATGTGAGAAAAGCTTCCAAGAACTGAAGCAGCGTTTGGTCACGGCCCCAGTGTTAACAGTACCGGATGGGTCGGGAAGTTTGGTGGTGTATAGTGACGCTTCACGAAGGGGCTTAGGTTGCGTTCTGATGCAGCAGGGAAAAGTCATCGATGACCTCTTTGTGATTTACTCAGAATAATCAAAAACTAATTACTCAAGATAATGATATTGATTTGCCCCTCTGTGTGCTGCCAACGTCGAGAGTTATCGCCTCCTAATTGCACACAAATGCTCTCAAAATTGACTACGCAAATAAACTACACGACACAACCTAATCGAAAAGGCAAAAGGGACTTATATAATGTGGTAGCGTTGATACGCTGCCCTGGTCTACTTTTGTTAGCTATAGTTTTCTGCGTTCTTTCTGAAATAGAGTAGTAAACACCCATGGGTGGGGTTCACTCTATAGCGCCTTTAGACTGTTTTATAGCTTGTTCTAACCACAATGAGAGTTGGGTTAAAACATTTACTGGGTAACTTGGGAGAGAGCCGTGAAAGTCTGGGCGTTGAGAGTTCTAAGAGTGTTTTGAAGTAGCGAGCGACGAAAACAGTTTGTGGAATTCTTCCCCCCAAATCCTTAAATCATTCGAAAACCCCTTGTGTTTTTGTATTTGTGGTGGAAGTTTCAGGAGTACTTCAAACTGATTCTGCTCTACTGTTGTTCTTATGATTTTCTGTTTTCTCTTACTTGAACAAACACCCATTATCACATATTATTTTATTATATTCTTTTTTGTATTTCAAAATTATTAACCACTTGTTATAAGCTAAATTCCCTGAGGAGACGACCTTGTTTAGTGCTATAATTGACCATTAGTGTATATTTGCGTTATATTTTTTCCATTAGTAAGAGAACGAACAAGTTTTTGGCGCTATTGCCAGGAAATTATTGATTTTATAAATTGTGGTTAGCCATTTTGAGATACGGTGCTTAAAGACCTTTCTACTTGTGTTTCAAGAGTGTTTTGAAGTAGTGGATAAGCAACTTCCCTACCTTTGAATTCGCTTTTGACCCGGAATCAGAACGAACCTTGAGAAGAGACTGGTAGAGGAAGTTGAAATGAATCTCAACGAACAAAACCCACCTGAGGATGGAGTAGTGAGGATACCAGGGGATAGAGCTGCCATTCCAGCACCTTCCCTGAACACTGTTCTGCTCGCTGACGACACAAAGCAGGAAATTAAAGCATACGCGACTCCTGCCTTTTATGATTTCAATCCTGTCTTTGTTGATCCAATCATCGAGGCAGGAAGATTTAAGCTGAAGCCTGCAATGTTTCAGATGTTACAAACGGTGGGACCGTTTAATGGGCTAGCATCAGAAGACCCTCATAGACGCCTAAGATATTTCATTCAAATGGCTGATTCGTTTAAATAATATGGAGTCAGTAAGGAAGCTATGAGATTAAATTTGTTCCCTTACTCTTTAAGGGATAATGCCAGAGCATGGTTGGACTCCTTACCTGCTAAATCGATCACTTCGTGGAATGACTTAGTAGAAAAATTTCGAAAGCAATATTTCCCACCTTCGAAGAATGCTGAACTTAGGAACAAGGTTAACAACTTTCAGCAACTACCAGGAGAATCCTTGAGTGAATCTTGGATAAGATTCAAGGGATTGCTGCAGAAATGCCCTCATCATGGAATACCACGCTGCATACAAATCGAGACTTACTATAATTGACTGAATGAAGCTATGAAATTAGTGATTGATGCTTCAACCAATGGAGCTTTGCTATCTAAACCATACGCAGAAGCCTTTGACATTTTGCAGAGGATTTCACGGAACAAACATCAATGGTCAAAGTCACGATCAATATTAACAGTAGGAAGCCTCACGGGGTTAGTAACAGATGATGTAGTAGCAGATCTTAACTCAAAGATTTCATGCCTAGCTGACATCGTTATGAAAAGCGCAACCGCGAATGAGGCTGTAGCATCCAAAGCAAAGGTGGCTGCTGTGCAAACCAGTCTTTGCCCATACTATGAAGGGAGGGCACCATTTTGAAAACTGCCCGGGCAATCCGGCATCAATATTTTACTTGGGCAACCCGCAACAGAACAGAAATAATGTGTATGGGAATACATACAATCCAAGCTGGAGGAACCACCCAAACTTCAGTTTGGGAGGAAACCAAGGAGGTAATAATGCTAGTCAAGTAATACCCAAGTGTATCCTCAAAAGACGCATTACCGTCTAGGCTTCTCAGGACAGAATCAACAGACCACTCAAAAGCAGCCAGAATCAATGAGTTTGGAGGAAATGTTTAAGACATACATAACGAAGAATAATGCCAATGTGCAGAGTCAAGCAGCCCTCCTTCAAAGTTAGGCAGCATCCCTGTGGAACATGGAAGTCCAAATAAGACAGTTGTTGACATAACTAAAAACTAAACCCAAGGGTGTGTTGCCAAGTGACACTGAACAACTCAAACGTGATGGCAAAGAACAGTGCAAGACACTGACACTGAGGAGTGGTAAAGTTCTGCCTTTAGTTTGTCAACAGGAAGATAAAGCTGAATAAGCAGCCACAGACACTGACGCTAATAAAGAAGAAGTGACAGAACTAGCTGAAGCACTAAACAACGAGGTTACTACAAATGTAGAGATGTTAAGAGAAAGAAGAAATAGTGGAACTCAGACCATGAACACAGATGAAGCTGAATCTAAAGAGGATCATCAGGAGCCCGAACAACCTAAGTCAAGTAAATCTGGAGCATCCGCGTCCAACAGAACCGAGGAATTGAAAAAGCATGAGCAATCAAAAATTCCTGTGAGAATAGCAGATTATGTTCCAGCAGTGCCTTACCCGAAGCGATTGCAGAAAAAGAATCAGGAAGGGCAGTTCAAAAGGTTCCTTGAAGTGCTTGAACAGATACATATAAATATGCCTCTGGTGGAAGCTTTGGAACAAATGCCTACATATGTAAAGTTCTTGAAGGACATCCTCACTAAAAAGAGACGGTTAGGAGAATTCGAAATAGTTTGCCTGACAAAAGAATGCAGCACGATTTTGACCAGCTCGATACCAAAAAAAAAATGAAAGACACTGGAAGCTTCACAATTCAAGTATTAATTGGTGGTCATAAAATTGGGCAGGCATTATGCGACCTCGAAGCTAGTATTAATTTAATGCCTTTATCAGTATACCAAAGGCTAAAGGCTAGGCATGGGTGCAATTAAGCCAACAACAGTCACCTTTCAGCTAGCTGATTGGTCCATTGCTAATCCAAAAGGAAAAACTGAGGATGTGCTGGTTCAAGTACGCAAATTTATATTCCCTGCTGATTTTATTGTTCTTGATTTTGATGCACATGAGGAAGTGCCCATCATCTTGGGAAGATCATTTTTGGCAACAGGCAAAGCACTAGTGGATGTACACAAGGGAGAGGTCACTGTAAGGGTACAAGACCAAGAGATCAAATTCTCGGTATATGAATCTATGAAATATCCTGCGGATGCTGATGAGTGTGCTGTTCTAAGAGTACTAGATGAAGCTGAAATGATGGCTCTAAGTTCGGAATTTATGCTTGAGCACCAGAGTTAGGAGCTGCAGAATATGCTGCAACAAGTAGAGGAATTTTATCATGAAGTTCTGTTTGTGGATGGTAGGAAGGAGATAGCCAGATCATGGTCAAAGGTGCACGAGAATCTAGATGGACGAGGTTACTCGAAAGCAGCTTAAATCGTTTGTTGAGGAGTCACCAGAGTTGGAATTAAAAGCCCTTCTGCAGCATCTTAAGTACGCATACTTAGGTACGTCTAATACGTTGCCGATAATTATTGCTGCAAATCTGCCTAAGAATAAGGAAGATGAATTGCTGGCAGTGCTAAAGGAACACAGAAGGGCTATAAGGTGGACAATAGCTGATATAAAAGGAATTAGCCCTAGCTACTATATGCACAAAATTGTTCTAGAAGAGAATTGTAAGAATTGAGTAGAACCGCAGCGAAAGCTTAACCCAACGATAAAAGAAGTTGTTAAGAAAGAGATTATAAAGTGGCTGGATGCTAGAATCATATACCCAATCTCAGACAGTGAATGAGTAAGTCCAGTGCAGTGCATTCCAAAAAAGGGGGGGATGACAGTGATTGAGAATGCCAAGAATGAGCTAATTCCCACTCGGACAGTGACCGGGTGGAGAATATGCATGAACTATAGAAAACTCAATAAAGCCACAAGGAAGGACCATTTCCCACTGCCATTCATTGATCAAATACTGGATAGACTAGTTGGGCAAGTGTATTACTGTTTCCTTGATGGATACAGTGGGTATAATCAGATCACTATTGCTCATCAAGATCAACAAAAGACAACATTCACATGCCCGTATGACACTTTCGCCTTCAAGAGGATGCCTTTTGGTTTGCAAAACGCTCCAGCCACATTTCACCGATGCATGATGGCTATATTCTCAGACCTGGTTGAATTTGTGGTAGAAGTCTTTATGGACGACTTCTCAGTTTTTGGAGCTAGCTTCATTGAATGCCTATCGAACCTTCGACGGGTCCTGCAGCGTTGTGAGGAGACCAACCTAGTCCTCAACTGGGAAAAGTGCCATTTCATGGTGTAAGAGGGCATAGTGTTGGGACATTGGGTTTCAAGACAAGGGCTGGATGTAGATCAAGCGAAGGTCCACGTCATTGAGCAATTATCGTAGCCTACTACAGTCAGAGGAGTCAGAAGCTTCTTGGGGCATGCAGGATTTTACCGACGATTTATAAAGGATTTTTCTAAACTTGCCAAACCTCTTTGTTCCTTATTAGAAGCTGATAGAGTATTTAACTTCTGTCCTGATTGTGTACAGGCATTCTCTACATTGAAACATGCTCTAATGCATCCTCCCATAATTCAAGCTCCCAATTGGAAGCTTCCGTTTGAACTGATGTGTGATGCAAGCGACTTCGCAGTTGGAGCTATGTTGGTGCAAAGGAAGGATAAAGTGCTTCACCCCATATATTATGCCAGTAAGACACTAGTAGAGGCCCAGATAAACTATACCACCACGAAGAATGAGTTGCTGGCACTAGTTTTCGTGTTAAAAAAATTCAGATCCTATCTGATGGGCGCTACAGTCATAGTGCCTACCGACCGTGCTGCATTGAAATACATTCTCACAAAGAAAGATGCAAGCAAGG